AGCAACCAAGGTACATGCCCTTGACAGGAATTGACCCTGGGGCCCTTCAGTTCGCAGGCCGACGCTCTATCCACTGAGCCAAACCAGCTAGGGCTAAAGTTAAAACTCTTAAAATAGAACAGTTAATATTTGTTTAGGACGTAAAATTGTCCAAGTATTATCTAAATGTTTTGTGTGATCTAATTTATTCCCCATAATTTGTGCTCTGTTTTTCTGATACCTTTCTGGTCTATTTTGAAACCTAATGATGATTACTACCATTTATTGAGCACATACCATGTGCCAAGGCCTTTAATTGCATTGTCTCTAAGCCTTAAATGTGTACTCAGAGATAGTTACCATCTCCATTTTAGAGACGAGGCCCAGAGAGGTGAAGTAACTGAACCAAGGTTGCACAGCTTATCAGCATTTGAGCTGAGCGTTGATTCATGGTCACTTTGGTCTGAGTCTCTTCTCCTAGTCTTCACTCTTATGACTGAGGTACCTGCTTTGTCATTTCTCATAAGTGCATGCTTTGGTTAAAACCATTCGAAATGAAGCTTGTGAAAAAGAGAACAGAACTAAATTATTTCTCAGACCCCTCTGTGATTTCTGTAGTTGAGTCGCGTTTACAATGTTCATGGTAATTTGGCTGAATTAGAAACATTACAACACTCGCAAGAACATAAACATTTGTTTACTTTTGAAATATATAACAAATTTACACTACTTAGCTTAGGTTTACTACTAAAAATTGTTTTGCCATTGAATTCAAAACTTCATTTTGAAATGAAATTACTCTTTGAACTTTCCAAAACAGCCTATTAAAAATCAAGTACATTGGCACAAATTAATCAAGTGTGTATTACTGAATGTCTTATGAATGAAATGTAGCATAATATTTTTTATTTTCTCTCTTGTGGTCTATTTCTTTTCACAGTATGCTTGAAAGACTATACAGAAGAATCTGGTACGTTTACTTCTCCAAACTTCCCCAATGATTACCCCAACAACTGGCAGTGCATTTATAGGATCACAGTGGGAACCAGCCACCAGATTGCATTGCATTTCATGAACTTCTCCTTGGAGGAGGAATTTGGTGGAAAATGTCTAGGAGATTTTGTGGAAATTAAGTAAGCACCTTTGTTTCATCATAATGCTTTTCATTATTTCCATTCATAATCTTTCCTGGAAAGGTTAAGGAAAATATATAGAATTTCTCTATAAAACTCCTTGCATTTCTCTTTCTTATAAGCCATAATGGTTTTCATTTGGAGCCTGACTTACCAGAAGAAAAACAGAGAATTGCATAAGATTCCAATTATTTTGAAGTGATTCTTTTATTGCAAGTATTTGAAAATAAACTCCAGATTTTATTTGGGCAGAGTAAACAAATGTACTTCCACTCTGAAATTAGATACTAATTATTGTTGCATATCTACTTTATATAAAATTAGTTTACATTTTAGGCTGTTCAGTGTCCATTTAGTCTAATTAGATCACAAAATGATGCTAAGATAGCAAACTTATCTTAAGGTTTTCACAAAGTTTTTTGTGTTAAATAATAAGTCTAGGCTTGTCAATTTCAGTGCATGGCATTTTTTTCTTTAATTCTTTGATAAAATGTGTTTAAAAAGTTATATTTATAGTAAAGGTAAGTTAGCTTAATTGAGTTAAATTTGGCTTATCAATTTGGCATGCATCAGTTTTAAATATTTTATTGGCATTTCAAAAGCGTAGAATCTTATACTATTTTATGGTAAATTTTATGCTATGATATAAAGTAAGGTACTAAAAAAGTAATACTTGTACTATATCATGCTAAAATAACATAATTGTCTTAATTTATAACAGTTAACCATTGAACTTTTATATTGAGTGAATCATATTTTTAAAAAATTCATCTTTATTGTGGAAAGTATTACAGATGTTCCTTTTGTTGTTGTTTTTCCATTGACCCCCTCCACCCCGCACCCACACCTCCCAGACCTTTACCACACTATTATCTGTGTCCAAGGACTATGCATATATGCATATAACTTCTCCGGTTAATCTCTCCCCACCCCACCCACTCTCATGCCTGCCTTCCCTCTGAAATTCATCAGTCTGTTCCATGCTTCTATGTCTCTGGATCTATTTTGTTCATTAGATTCCACATATGAATGAGATCATGTGATACTTCTCTTTCCCGAGTGATATCATGTGATATTTATCTATCTCTGACTGGCTTATTTCACTTAGCATTATACTCTCCAGGTCCAAAAGAGCTACAGCCCCAGCTGGTTTTGCTCAGTGGATAGAGCATTGGCCAAGGACTGAAGGGCCCTGGGTTTGATTCTGGTCAAGGGCACCTACTTCGGTTGCAAACTCAATCCCTGGCCCTGGTCGAGTGCCTGAGGGAGGCAACCAATCAATGTGTCTCTCTCTCTGTCTCTCCCGCTCCCTTCAACTTTCTCTAAAAATCAATGGAAAAATATCCTGTGGTGAGGATTAACAAGGGGAAAAACAAAAAACAAAACACCACTACAGATTATAAACTAGAGTTAAGAACCCAAAAGTTATTGAGGAAAGAATTATTTTTAAAAATTTGCTAGTTAGTTCAGTTGTTCAGTAGATTCCACATATCAGTGAAATCATATGGTACAAAAAGAGAAAAAGGAAAATAACTCATTGACATGGACAGCAGTGTGATGATTGCGGGGGGAACAGTGAGGGGTGGGTGGAGGTGGCAGAGGGTACAGGGGGGGAAATGGTGATGGAAAAAATAAAATTTAATTAAAACATGTTGCTATATAAGTCTAATATGATATAGTAAAATTTGAAAATTTTCATAGGAAAAACATTATTTAGAAGAAAGACATTTAAGGCTTCTCTGTAAAATTAAGCAACATTTGTTTATACTTTTAATAATTATGAGTTCTCTGTCTGGTGATCTCTGACATTTGCCAGACACTTTATTTGAGAAGAAGACTAAACGCTTTTTTTCAGTTGGCCATTGATTATATAAAATGTTATACCAACCATAACTGATGGTTATTCTTTATTAAATTATTCAAGTACTATTTGATAAATTGAAAACTTAAAATGATGTTTTTAGAGTATTTTTGAGAAACATTGATTGACATAAATTAATGTGTTTGCAATCTGAAAGTTCAAATATGTTAAATGTTTATTCAGTAATATTATCAATAACCTGATGAATGTTTACATCTGCATTTTGTCACAGAGATGGAGGCTATGAAACATCACCACTCCTGGGAAAATACTGTGGCTCAACTACACCTCCAAGAATCATCTCTCACAGTAATAAATTATGGTTGCAATTTAAGAGTGATGTCGTTTTGTCAAGTTCTGGATTCTCAGCTTACTGGGATGGATCATTAACAGGTAAAGATCAAAGAACCATCTTTTATTGGTGAGTCCAATTGGGTTGGTTTCTTGGTTCTTGTATTGCCATACTCTTATCCATGTTTTTCCATCTGTGTCTTGTGATTACTATCTATAAACAGTGGTTCTCAACCTTTTGGCCCTTTAAATATAGTTCCTCATATTGTGACCCAACCATAAAATTATTTTCGTTGCTACTTCATAACTGTAATGTTGCTACTGTTATGAATCGTAATGTAAATATCTGATATGCAGGATGGTGTTAGGTGACCCCTGTGAAAGGGTCGTTCAACTGCCAAAGGAGTCGAGACCCACAGGTTGAGAACCACTGATCTATTATAATAAAAGCTAGACCAAACAGCCAAATGACCTTCCAGACGTCCTTCTGGATGAAGCTGCAGTGGTGGTGGCTGTGCTGCGAGGGCCGAGCCCCTTGCATGAATTTTGTGCATCGGACCTCTAGTAGCTAAATAATTCATTAAGGGGGTACAAGCAATGTTTACCCCACCTTTAAATATTTTTTTTAAAGGCAAATTGTCCCCTCAACCAGGGCACAGGGTGGCTGGGGGAAGGGAGGGAGGCCCTGGCCAGCAGCCAGCAGCTGCTAGGGACCCTACCAGTGCATGAATTTCATGCACTGGGCCTCTAGTTTGTAATTAACTTCAACATTGTAAGTACTTCTAAATTCACAGCAGTCTTTTGTTTTTGAAATACAAAGTTAGGAAAGATGGTTTGATTCCCTGGTATATTTAATCAAACTGGTCATCTTGGTTAGGAAAAGGAAAGTACATTGATTGACATGAATTAAGATTCTAGGCTAGCTGCTCTTTGGTGATGTAGTTGTTTTGTTTTGGCTTAAAGGGGAGTAATAGTAGCACCAGTCTGATATAGACAAGAAAATTCAATGTGACCAGAAAGAAAGTTATGCATCATTCCATCTCTTTCTCCTGTAGGTTGTGGGGGCAATCTCACCACTCCCACTGGCACCTTCACATCTCCCAACTACCCGATGCCCTATTACCACAGCTCCGAATGCTACTGGTGGCTGAAAGCCAGCCAGGGCAGCCCATTTGAACTGGAATTTGAAGAGTTTCACTTGGAGCATCATCCTAACTGCACTTTAGATTATCTGGCCGTATGTATACAGTTTCAATTTTATAATTCACTGCTTCCTCCTTGCCCAACACACATAAATGCATTTATTTTTATTTTTGAGATTTGAGAAAGGGGAACATTTAAACAAAATAGCCACATAAACATTTTAAGTAAAATAAAAAATTAAAAGAAAATTTTATGAAAATGATTTGCCTTCTAAGTATAGCATGTATTACACAATGACTTGATATTTATATATTTAAGTATTAAAATACATTAAATATGAACTATATATACTAAGATATTAAAATATATAAAATATGGACTATTAAGATATAAGACTACTAAAAGGAGTTATGAGATTTATCATAATTATTATTAATGTACTTTCTACATATGTAGTGCAAAATAATAATATAGAGAATTTTATTGGTGAATTAGAGAGGATAATTGAAGTCCTCCAGGTATAACTTTTTATAGAACCAGCTATTCAGGCTTTTCCATTAAAAAACAATCTACATTTTAAAATTTATTAAAGTGTCATAAATTATAAACTATAAAATTAAAAAAGCAAGGAAGACTACTGATAACAGCTATGGTCTCAAAATAGGTATTAATCTTTTATTTTCGATCTTCAGATTTCAACCTGGGTTCACACACAACTATATACTGCCATGGCAAAATGGCCAGAGTTCATGGCCCAAGTTTATAGATAATTAGCTATAATTTTAAAGATATTTTGATTCAGGGTTATTCTTTTGATATCTCATATATATATTCTTTTTCCAGTTCTTGAGATTTACAGAGGCCTTTATATAATGTGTATAGCCATAATCATTTGACATTTAAAATGTTTTATTAAAGGTATATGATGGTCCAGGTACCAGCTCTCACCTGCTAACTCAGCTTTGTGGGGATGAGAAACCGCCTCTGATTCGTTCTAGTGGAGACAGCATGTTTTTAAAACTGAGGACGGATGAAGTCCAACAAGGAGGTGGCTTCCTGGCCAAATACCACCAGAGTAAGTATGTATACTGGCTGCTTGATGCCCGTAGGGGTCTTCAATATATATATTTTTAAATCCCCATCCAAGGATATGTTCAGAGAAAGGAAAAGAGACAGAGAGAAAGAGAGAGAAAGAGAGAGAGAGAGAGAGAGAGAGAGAGAGAGAGAGAGAGAGAGACATCTATATGAGAGAAAAATATCAATCAACTGCTTCCTGTACTCGCCCCAGCCAGGGACCCAAGCGAAGCTGCAACCTTTTGGTGTATGGGAGGACGCTCCAACCAACTAAACAACCATGCCAGGGCAGGCCTCAATCTTTTGATGAATGAAACCAACGGAAATAAGTATAAGCCATTGGTTCGAGCCATTAAAATAAATCTTATCTCCCTATTGAGAAAAATGTAACTCTCTTAGGGAAGAAATGCTTATGCATTAAATTTATCATCTAACTGAAGCATGTGGTAAGCTATAGAAACTTAGAGGAGTATTTAATATGCTGAAACAGTTGCAATTCAGCTAAAGATCAGTATAACAGGTTAACAGCTAATCGGTTTTTATTTGTATTAAACATTAAGATCCTCTAATTAGACATTATTCCATTGCACATAGTGTTTCTAACACATTTTTTGATCATGGATTTCAGAAGGTATTAATTTTATTAAGGTAAACTATGGTCCTTGTGAGTCACACGTGGAGTAGGCACAGTCTTTACTGGAGAAAAATCTGGTCTTTGTTGAGATGCCATTTTAAAATCTGCTTTCCCGTGAGGCAACCTGGTGGGATAAACGAGTACTGAACAGAAGTCCAGGGGCTCAGGGGCTTGTCCTGCCTGGGAAGGTCACTTTTCTTCTCTGGTTCCATGATTTTTTTCTCTTAAAGAAAGGAGATTAAATTCGGTGATTGTGAAAGCTCCCTTCTAGCTCTAGAATTAAATACTTTCTAAAGTTAGCTTTAAAATGAACATTCAACAAACAAGGTTTTCTTGAATTTATGTTATTTAATAAACACTTTACTTGTATGGTTTTATATTTTGTTAATCCTCACCTGAGGATATTTTTTTTTCATTAATTTTTAGAGAAAGTAGAAGGGATGGAAAGAGGGAGGGAGGGAAGAAGGGATAGAGGGAAAAGTGGGGGGGCGGGGAAGAGAAGGAGAGAGTGTGAGAGAGTCACATCAATTGTGCCTCTCACAATCACCGCAACTGGGGCTGGGGATCAAACCAGCAACCCAGGTACATGTACGTGCCCTTGACCTGAATCGCACCTGTGACCCTTTGTGTGTGGGCCGACACTAACCATTGTGACACTGGCCAGGGCTACTTGTGTTTTGAAAATACAGTTCCTTGCCCCCATTAAATCTATGTTTACCCATAATTTTGACACAATTACCTAAAAATAGAACCGAAAGTCACAAAATCATAATCAATATACAATATCCCTTCCGATTAGTTGAGAGGATTAATGTTTAACTTTGATTCTGTGTGAATTTGAGGATTCACACTCTCTTATATATGGGGTTAGAGTGAACTCTAGTTTTGAATACTAAGGTTTAATGATATATAGCTTTGTTCCTCAGAAATTCATCATTAGAGCATGAAAAGGCCTCCCAGATTCCAGCAGGGATATATCTGTTTGGTTGAGCATATAATCGTATCTCCAGTTTTGTTATTGCTATCCTAATTTGTTTCTCAGCCATCTTTTATTTCTATGATATTTTATTCTCTCCCATCATTTCAGAACACTAAATAAGTAACTTAGTGCACTTACGTCCTTAAAAGTAAAAATCAGAGGAACCAGTGAGATTTGCCATATAATTTACCATTTGAAATTTGAGGCTGGCACATAGTATAATTTTTGAGCACCGAGAACAGCCCATGTGGTTAATGAATACATTTTCCTCTGCCCTGTTTTGTTGTCAGTGAGGCACATGATACCTGTCTGCCTAATAGGTGTCATTTCTTGCAGGCACCTGAAATCACAAAATCATTCTTTGAAAATCCTGTGTGGACAAAAGTGTTACCTAAAAATATTCAAAGACAAATAGTTTGAATACCCCCTGCTTTAGCAAAAGAAGGTTTTTGAAGTGCCAGCCACAAGTGTATACTTTTCAAACCAAAGTTTATAAATGGTGTTCCAGCCACCTGCCAGGAAGCTGTATTGTGGTAGGAATGCATATATGAACCACAGTCTTCAGAGACAACCCTTTCAATATAACATTTATTTTGCCATTCTCTTGTATTCCATTTCATACAGATAATATAAGAAAGGCTTGAGAAAAGGCATGCATGTGCCTTCAGTCATTAGGTTTGGCTGAATTTGGCTCTGACTCCAGGACAAGCCATACCTAGCCTAGAGGTACCTAGTGTAGTCTTGTTGAAAATTAAGCTGAAGAAAATGCCACCATTGGATTGAAGACTGTTTTAAACATTTAAGATTTTCATTTTTCTTCAAATCCTGTGCATTCCCTCTAGGCCTTTGGTACTTCCTGATGACTAACTACAGGCATAACAGAGTCTTTGTTATGAATTACAGGCTGACTTTTGAATTCAACAAAGCCATGTTGTTATTTATGTTTAGCATTCACATAGAACTTTGTGTTTTTAAACTGTTGAATTTAAAGGTCAAGATTTCTGTCCCTTCCAAATGTTAAAGTTAGAAAAACAGAAGCATTGAATGTTTAACACACTTCTCTAAACAAACAGATCTCTGAGTAGTCTGAGCTATTTGGCTTTCCATGGATTCACAGGAATTGGATGTCCATTCTAACATGGCAGTTTTCATGACACTTTCAAGTTGCTGAATTCACTTAAGCAATATTTTACCTTGTTCTAAATGGAGACCTTTTCACTTTAAATATGCCACACCAAATATACTGGGTGTCCAAAAAGTGTATACACACTTTAACAGCTGATAGCTCTATTGATATTTCTTTCTTTTCAGATTTAAGCCATTGGAATTAATAATTATTCAAAGTATATATATATATATATACACACACACACACACACACATACATTTTAAAACTAGAGTTTTTAAAGGCAATATCACACACATCTTGGAGTAATTTTGACATATTTGATGGTGGTTCTTAACAATCATGATTATTTTTCCCAGCCTGTGAGAACGTGGTGATTGTGAATCGAACCTATGGCATCCTAGAGAGTATACATTATCCAAATCCCTATTCTCACAATCAGCGCTGCAACTGGACCATCCAAGCAACAACTGGCAACACTGTGAATTACACATTTTTGGAATTTGAATTGGAATATCACCTAAACTGCTCCCATGACTATTTAGAGGTATGTATTCTGAAATTAAGTACATGACTGTATTTTCAAATAAAGTTAGGCAAGCCAAACTAGAAGGCATCACGCCTTGAAGAACCAAATCCCTAACCCTGCTTTACACATCTTTAAGATACCACTAGCCATGGTGTTTGAGCAGGAATATTTCATGCCTCTTTCTCTGCATCAGTATAATATTAAAGATATTAAAGCTCTTGAATTATATACGCAAAGAACTATCTATGTTTTTAGCTTCATTATAACTTTTGGACTGACCGACCTCATGTTAATTAAATAATGCAGAAGGGGAACAATAACTTTTATTTTTGGTTGGTTGTTTTTATGTTCGTTCTCTATAAACAAGAGATCAGAAAGATGTTGGGTGTCACAGCTTTATTTAATACTTAATTTGCCTGAAATTAAGAATCATGATTTAGATTTTGGTTTTTATTTAAAGTTATGCTCATTTAGTTGACTTTTCTTTTTGTAAAACAGAAGTTTCTATTTGTTGTAATAATGACCACCAGTGACACTTATTCAGCTCTCCATATATGGTACAATGCTATACAATAAAAATTGCTTGAAAATTAGGGAACCCAAAATATGAGGTAATCTGCTATTTTTATGATATTTTATTTACAACATTTTAATATATTTTATATGCAACATTTTTAGGGCTACAGATTGTAAAGTTAGGAAGCTACTTATAAATGTAATTATGCACTCATATATAAAATCATGAGATAATATGTTAATTTAGAAATATTGATTTCTACTCTCATACTTCATAAAGCAATTTTACTCAATTTACATATATTTTGACATCTAGTTTTCATCTTTAATGAAATCACTTTTGAGTCATCTAACACATCAACTTTATATCCATTTACGTTGTTAATATATTATACTTTTGAATCCACACTATGATGTTTTCACTAGGAATCTTTTCTGAAGTGGAGTACCAACTCTGATAACATTAGGGCATTCCCTCATCCCACCTGTCCACAAGGAGATGAGGTAGTGTTTATTTTTTAAGGTGATCAATGATTTTTAGAAGTCTTGTTTGTAAAGACTTCCAACATCCAGCATTTGTAATGTTGAGGACATATTCTCAGGAAAAAATACTTTATCCTTGTAAAAAAAAGTTTAACTCTCTTTTTACCAATTCTTTAAAAAAGTATCTTTGATTGAGGTTAACATATCTTTTCCAAATAGCACATTTCTTTTTCAAAACACATAAGAGAAACTTCCTGTACTCTGAGAGACTTTCTGAGGTTCTATAATAAGGATTACCTTGTTTCTGAGGGATACTTTTATAGGTTAAAGAAAACCTTGCTTTATATTTAGAAAACAATATTATAGAAATACTAACCATAGTGGTATTCAAAATGTGACACAACATAAAACAAACTTATAAGCACGAACTGGACAACGGTTTTAAAGTCCCCTTTCCTTGATATAGTGATTAGCTAGTCTCTACACACTTAATAATGGTGTGCTTGTCTCATTCCATTTATCGGGAGTAGCCTCTTTTTTCTTCATGTAGCAAGATCTTGATCATTCTTTAAAAATTAAATGAAAAGTTGATGTTAAAGCCCTTTATTGTACCACAAGCACAGTAGTTTATTATATTTTTCTGGTTGTGACTGTGTCCACATGCTCCCCGGGACTCTGAGCTTTGTGAAGGTTAGGAGCCGTCTTCTACTCACTTTGTGACCCAGGCACTGATTGTAGAGCTGGGAATCTTACAGGAGCTCAGTAGGTTCAGGTTAAATCGAGTATCACAGACATATTTTAGGATCCGCCTAATGACAGCTATTAATTAATGAGAAATAACTGAATTCCAAACTGGCTTTTTGGTTTAAGCCCTACATAGTCAATGCAATCCTATCACCTCGGGCACAAACCAGAATAGAACTGATGCCCTGCAGAGCGCTGTGTGTGCTGCAGTATTCTAGGCGCCATGTTGTGGTGTGAGAGAGCACGATGTGATAACGCAGAGAGGAAGAAGCTCGGAACTGGACTTTAAAGGAGGCTTAGGCAGAGAGAGTGGGGAGGAAATAAGAGGAAACCTCTCCAGGGACTGGACTCCATCTCGCTGGACTTACTTGAGGAGGGCATGGTAACAAGGCCCATCAGATAATTTTTGGAGGCATTTGAAAACTGTCAAATAAAAATGATGTGTTCCAGTAACTGCAGAGCAGCTCATGAGAGGCCCTTCACAGAAGGTGTTACAGGCATGCCATCTATCTTGTGCAACATGGATGGTGAAAGCAGCAAAAATACAGAACGAGAACCAGAAGTTCAGCAAAGGCTTCCAAGGAATGATGCTGTTGCCAGAGGGAGGTGACTTTTTTCCATTTCTTTAAGCCAAAGCGCTTAAAGAAAGAGCGATCTCTGCAGAGGCTGGTCCAGGAGGGAAATGTAAAAGCACAAATAACCATTTAAGGAGAGCAGAACCACAAACACAAAATCTATTTTCATTATTTTAATAACTTGTAGTTATTATTTCAAGTGACTTAGCCAAGTCTAAATTGAGCGACCATTACTACAGCCAGCATTGCGTTATGTTGAGTTAATAAAACTGAAACTCTGAAAGGACTTGATTAGGTGCTGGTAGGACATTGTGCCCAACTTTGCTGAGGGGTTTGGGCACCTAAGGAGCCTACTGGGAATCTACTCCATCCTTCAATATTTCGTCTTCTGGGCAAAACAAAATGATTGAACTTTAGAAATAAAATACTCAATGGGAGGAAGGATCATTTGCTTAAAGGAGTAACACCATAGTGCTTATACAGTTACAGGAAGCTAACTTTAAGAATTATTCCTATATTTTACAACTTGATTTCACTTTGTCATTTTTGCTTTGAGGCTGAGTCTCCATGTGGAAGAGGATATTTGTTACGGGTGACTGACTGTACAAACAGAAGTAATGGATTTGGGAGAAATCATCACAGAGATGTACAGGGAGGCCAGAGCACGTGTTATAGATCAACAGGAAGGAAAGGAAAAAAGAAAACTAGGAGGTTATCATGTTATGGAAGTTGAGGGAAAAGAATATACTTAATATGACAGGGATAAATAAGGTGAGATTCTCCCAAGAGGTCAAGAAAAGGTCAGGGTTGAGCAGTGTCCCTTGGAGACCAGCATGACTGTGGGTAGAGCCCAGTTTGAGGGATGGTGGGAGCAGGAACAAGGCTGTAGTGTGAAGGGGCATGAGGGGGAGAGAGTAAATGTAGAAGTCTAAGTCCATAATTTCAATGTCTGAGTTTCTGTCTAGAACAGTGATGGCGAACCTTTTGAGCTCGGCGTGTCAGCATTTTGAAAAACCCTAACTTAACTCTGGTGCCATGTTACATATAGAAATTTTTTGATATTTGCAACCATAGTAAAACAAAGATTTATATTTTTGATATTTATTTTATATATTTAAATGCCATTTAACAAAGAAAAATCAACCAAAAAAATGAGTTTTCATGTCACCATCACTGGTCTAGAAAATCATTAATTCTTGGCCTCTTTTCTCCAATCCTTATCCTTTATTTCCCTAACTGGTCCTCAAGTGACAAATTCTCATGGGACACCCTCCTTTGCCTGTTCTCTTGTATGTCAGTGTTTCTTAAAATGTGGCCCAGGATTGGATGCAACACTCCAACTAACCTATTCAGGACCAGGTATGCTGGGACTATGTCATCTGGCTCACATATGTCTGGTATTATAGGCTGAGGTTAAATGAGTTTATCGTCAGTCAGGTCGTAATGTTGGACTATGTAAGACCTATAATCTCCAGGTCACTTTTACATGAATTGTAATGGCTTTATGGCCATCCCCAGGATATTACTCCTAGTAAGTTACATTGACTGTTTTGCCTGAGAATTCCATCATTTCATGACTCCTCTAAATCCTGATACTCTGGTCTGTAGGGAGCATTATTCATTTGCTCATAGACTCTTTGGCCATTGGATGGTGATTATTTCAAACTAGAGGCCTGTTGCACGAAGAGAGTCATGCAATAGGCCTTCTTTTCCCCTGGCTACTGGCAACGGTTTGCCTCTGGCACCCAGGGCCCAAGCCTTCGCTCTGGCTGAGTTCTGGCCGGAGCCAGCCCTGGAAACATCAGGCCTTGCTGCTCTGCCATCCCAGGACCTTCAGACTTTGCTCCACTACTTGGAGCCTACATATGCAAATTAACCACCATGTTTGTTGGCAGTTAATTTGCATATCATGCTGATTAGCCCATGGGAGGTATAGCGAAGATATGGTCAATTACCATGCTTGTCTATTATTAGATAGGATACTCCAAAATGATAGGTTTCTTTGGTTAAAATGATCTATTATTGAACACCTTTATAATAGCACCATTTAAACAACTTGGTAATAATAGCAGCTGATCTTCATTGAGCACTTATTATTTGATAGGTAATTAGACACCAGTCCTCTAATGTTGGAAACATACCCGTCTGACAGGTGAGACAATTGAGGTAAATGCAGGTTATCCACCATCACAAAGATTATAAGGGGCTAAGCTAGTCTTTCAAGCAGGTTCTACAGCTCCAGGCTGATGCGTTTAGCTGTAATACTACACACCTCTATCTTTATACTCTTTCATAATTTTCTGTCTCCCTCAAAGGTGAGGCGAAGGAGTGGCCATGAAGCCCTTAGTGTCCACTACCACTCTAGTGACACTGTCACAAAGAGAAATTTGTTATTTTAGCATGGCTTCTCCACAGATAAGCATGACCATTTATTATAATCACCCCTTTCTCTCCTAATTGCTGATAAATTATTTTTAGTGTCTAATTTAGAATTTTTCGAAAAAAATTACTGTCAACCTTACTCATCTGTGAAGTTGCAGAATAAATCTTTCCCACATTTTGGAACTTGACTACTTTTTCCTTCAGACCTCTGGCAGTCCTGTGTTTCATTGTTCTGTTTTATATTATTTGTTGCAGGTACACACTCAGACTAAACCATGTAGAAAAGATTAGTGTTTGTGAAAGGACTGTTACTCTGAG